TATGCACTGTAAAATGATTTCAAACAAAATATACATGAATTAAAACGAAAGATTTTAATGGTAACGGATGAAGGGTAATATCTCTGGTGTCTACAATTTCAAAGAAAAAATTAAAGATTTATACAATTAAGTCATGCATTCAGTATGATCAAAAAGTCATCCATTTGGTGATTTTTAGTTTGTAAGTATTAACCGGTAAATTAGGGTAAATTAGGGTTGAGCTCATGACACTTTCTTTGCATTTAATTTTTCTTTGGATCAACTCCTATTACATTCAAGTTTTCTCAAATCCCGCATTCATTGCATTTGTTTTCTAATTAGAATAACAAAATTCCGATTTTTTAGATATGAGATAAAATTCTTTAATTTGAATTATTTATTTATTTAAGAGAGGATTGAAATATTAATCTATTGAAATTTTATTTTCTAGAGGAGCATTATTTTGTTTTCAAAAACTACTCTAAGTATACTAACAACGTTCTACGAATAAAATTTCATCTTCCTTATTATAAATTCTTCTGAAATTTCAATGAACAATAATATATTGTGAGAATTAAGTTTATTAAAATTGATAATATTATGTAGTTACTCATTTTTTGTTATAAATACTTTTTTTTACTAAATGCAAAAAAGAAAACCATACATTTCAAATAAAAACAATAAATTGGAGTCAAATTAATTATTTTGTTTAAGAAATAACACTAGATTTGTATAACCTTTATTTGAATGGAACCTTTAGGAGAAAATTAATTATATTTACGCCATATATTTAATGATTACTCTCATTCTGTATTGTTTTCTATGAGGGAACTTCCATTACTTTATGCCCCCCTTCTCCGATGCAACAAATTGGCAGTCAATTTAGTAAAAGAATATTGCTATTATTTTTTTTAATAAGATGGTTAGTATAGTTGATCTAGATCAACATGATGATTATTTTCATATCATAAAGGGAGCTAATTTGGTATCTGACAATTGCTAAGAAAAGTCTATCATTACTAGAAAGAATTTTTGTTTTTGAATCTCCTCTATCTTAGATTTATTTTCTTATGGTCGCAAACGCTTTAACTTTCTTGGTTCTATTTTGGACTTCTACCTAGTCCTCTTGTTTATTTTGCTGCCTTGATTCAACTAGTATTGTGTAGATTTAATTGTTCACGTTTAGTTATCATTCAAAAACACTTGTGAAAATCATAAATCATTAAACATTTGTGAAAAGTTTTGTGGAATTGAGATTACCATAAGGAAGTTTAGTGATTTCCACTTGAAAAGGCTTAATTATTAAGTGGCTCTTAGTAGCTAACCTCCCTTGATAGTGCAACTTGTACACTTAGACTTCCAAGTGCTAGTCTTATTCTTAGAAAAGACCAAAAATATTTTCTTTTTGCATTGCATTTTTTTTAAAATTCTTGAAACTTAACTAGTTTGCTTAACATTTTCTCTTGTTTTTAAGATTTTAAATTCAATATGTTTAATTGTTAAGTTTGCTATATGTTTGCTTGTGGACGTTTAAGGGAAACAATTTCTAAGTTCCAAAGGCTTAGTGTTGTTTAGAACCATGTTTAACTAGTAATCTTTAGCCAACTTTTCTTTAGGAAATTTTGAAAACTTATTTTGAAAAACTCTTTTTGTTTAATTATGAGAAAACATTCCTCAAGTGGTAGTGACTTAAGCTCCCCAAAAAGTTTTTCACATCCTACTCAAGAGCTTAAATCACTAACACTTTGGACAAAGCAAGAAGTGTTAACAAGAGAAAAAGAAAAACTTGAAAGAAAAGCACGACTTGCAATTTTAGAGGAAGAAATTCAAATTCTTAAACAAAAGGAAGAAAAACTTTTAGCAAAAATAAAATTGAGAAAAATAAGGAAAAAGGAAATAAAAAAGGCATGTATCTTAGGGAAGAGTAAGGAGGAAAATATCTCCTCTAAAGGACTTCTCTTTCTAGAATTAAGTTTCTTCCAATTGCTGTGGTGACTGGTGATTAGCTGATAGCATGAAGTAGTGTCTACATTTGCAGTCCTGTAAAGAGCTAACCTCATTGTTTTTTGTCAGTAGAAAGTCAGTTCCACTCATTGTGAAAACTTTAATGAAAACTTTAAAGGATAACCCAAGACAAATGATTATCCAAAAGGGCATATTCATTTTGCATGTAATTATTTCAGTATGGTGCCTTTGGCAGGTAAATCTCTTGGCATTGTTTTATACCTTCTCCTCCTTTGCAGATTGCTGACTTGCCTCCCAGGTTAGCAGAGCGTGATTTGGCTGGTACCCCATATGTTCCAGTTTATGTGATGCTACCAGTAAGCTATTATTTTACTCTCATTTTTCATTATTTTGTTGAAGTTCTTTCTCTTGGTTTCTTAATATGCTTGTAGTGAGTAGGTCTACTGACATATGGGCATTCATAGTATACTGTTTTAGAAAACTTATATAACTATTAAAAGAAAGAAAAATCTCTGTTTTTTTTAAGGAAATTATCCATAAATATGAATCTAACATTATATAGACACATCCTGTCTATATTTTTGATAGTTAGGGGTGATCAATAAGTATTGTTCATGTCAGATTTGTGAATGTTCACTGCTGTTCACTAAGACATTTCTGGAAACTATCTTACCAATGCATGTGGATCTTATCTTTCAACAATCTTAAAAAACTGTACAGGTAAGCTGCATGACTTGAAGCTCTCCCAATTTGAATTCTTGAAATTTTTGAAACCCCATGGAAAATGAATGGGATTTACATTGAAAATTAAATTCGTTATCATGGAATAACATGTTAACATGTTTGGTGGTGTTGGAGAAATTTTATTGGCACTATAATGTAGTTGCATCCAATTATGCTAATTCTTGTTTGGTATCGTAATTATGGTTTCTTAATTACCTTATGTTTGATTTGTATGGTTTCTTATTCTTTTTCTGTTTCTTAAATCTTAATAATAGAGATTTGAAATGCAGAGGAAACATAATATATTTCTCTTTATTTTTCTATAAATATATTATATGATGTTATTGTGTGTTTTCCAAAATTAGTAAAATTTTCTGATCAGCTATGCTTCCAGTGAAGAGCTCCTGTTATTAACAATGAAAATAGCACGGTTACTGACTTTAGGAATGTAAATTACTTTAAAAATGCTGAAGGCCTTTGTCAGATGTGAGAACAATTTGAAAAGTATTACTAGATGCAAATTCAGAAAATAAGTACAGGAGGGATAAAAAAATTATACACATAAATAGTATGATATAAGTTAATTTTAACTTAAAGTAAAGTTGATTTCAATTTTGTTCTTTTTTTGTTTTTTTTCATTGTTTTTGAGAGAATTATTCAAAGAAACACTAACACTATGAAATTGTGAATGTGCATAAGCAAAAGGTAAGATGTATACATACCTTGGCTGTAAAGACAGTGAGTGAATCAAAGGATTCCATAGATTTGGGGTGTTCGGGAATGAGTTGATGGAGAAGGCATACCAAAGAGACATATTTTTTTGTAACCCTGTCCTGTTCCTTTGTTAACAACTTTGTGTTTTGTCAAAGTAAATAGCTGAAATCCCTGTCCTGTTCTAATAGACAATGTGATGGGGACTCTCTCATTGGCACAGGTTAACTGCATAAGTAATATAATATGGAATTTGAACTTTGAAATATCTCTAATCTATCTGCACATATACTGTTCTAATAGACCAACACATAGTTTATATTTTTCTTTATTTTTTTATAAATATATTATATGATGTTATTGTGTGTTTTAATAACAGAAGCGTAGCCAAGAAAATAGAAATAATAGGATAAAGCAAAAGATGCCTCACACTGGAGGATCCAAAAGCATTGGAACCTTAATGGCCGAAAAGGTATTTGTGGATAATTTACAAATTATAATATTGTTACATTTGTCTTGAGAATTTATTTGACATCAACTTAATCCTATTAGACCATAGATGGGATGGAGCCTACAAGGGCAGAAATCTTTATATTAACTCATAAGAAACGTAAAGATGAAAGACCATTGGATGAAGTTTCTGCAAAAATAGTGGTTAGATTTTTTAAGCAATTTTTATACTTGTTATATATTATATATGCCATTTGAATTAGTTTGAATATTTTTATATTGATTGTGAGTATACAATAACTTCAAACTTGCTTACATAGGATGTGATGCAAGAAAAATTGATATCCTGGTTGAATTTTTTTCTATTCTATAGCTTACATATTTGTCTTTTTGGATTTGTAGAATCACAATTACCTACAAAATCTACTGCAACTGTGAAAACAGGTTTGGCCCATGTCTTCTTGTTTTACACATGCTATTTTTTTAAAGAGGTTTAAGTTACTTTTGTAATTTCTTAACCTTTTTGTTTGGATTTGTAGAATCACAATCAACTAAAATTCCAATTGTTATAGTGGAAACAGGTTTTAAAATATGATGTTATTGTGTGTTTTCCAAAATTAGTAAAATTTTCTGATCAGCTATGCTTCCAGTGAAGAGCTCCTGTTATTAACAATGAAAATAGCACGGTTACTGACTTTAGGAATGTAAATTACTTTAAAAATGCTGAAGGCCTTTGTCAGATGTGAGAATGAAATACAATTCCACTCTCTGTCATTTTCTCTCTAATATATATAACTCCTGAATTTTAAATTTGCAAAATTGAGATTTTTAGATTGCCTTTTCTAGTCGCCACAAAGCAAATAACTATAGAAAGACTTCATAATTTTGGCTCATTATTAGATTTGCCCATGCGATTATTTGCATACTCATGCAGGGATTTCCTTTAGCCATGTTTATGTTGTTGCCACTACAACAAAAAATATCATTAATGACTATTATTTAGTGGTAATAAGATAATTGCCTGCATATCATTATTAATTAAAATTTTTAGTGGTCAATAAAAATTAGTTGGTAAAATTTTATTTATAATGACAATTTTTAAAAATTACGTTAATATTATTTTTATTTACAAATTTCTTACACTCTCGGTGCATAAAACATTTTTCATTTTTCTCTTTGCTTCACTTCTTACCGTCTCACTCTCGCTTCTCAGCATCTCCTTCTCGCTTCTCACCGTCTCACTCTCGCTTCTCAGCGTCTCCCTCTCGCTTCTCACTGTCTCACTCTTGCGCTGTTTCAAAGCTTCAGTCATGGCTTCTCCTATCTCTCCCACATAGCTTCAATGGTTGCTTCTCTTCAATTTCAATTTTAGGGTTTGTTTTTTTTGTTCATACTTCACATATTCATATTGGTATTAGTTAGGCTTTGAGGCATTGGTTGGATTTGTGTTCCTTTACAACTTGATGTTCGCTTTGCTCTCAAATTAGTTGGCCGTAAGTACTTTTCACATCATTTGTACTTTAAAATTGTTTCAGAAATGATCCGGAAGGTTTTATTAATAAGTATGCATTTAAGTGTGCAGCATTTGATAAGTCACACGCAACAATAACTGAAGAAGAACCTGAAGCAAATACACCTAATGAAGGAATTGAATTACCACGCATAGGTGAGTTATGTTGCTTATGATGTGAAATTATTTTCGTAATTTTCGTAAGATAAAATCAAGCATGCCTTGATTAATCAAATGCCAATAGATATCATTGAATTTTCTGTTTCGTAATTTTTTTACTTTTGTTTTGTGTCTTTTGTGAACTTGATTGCAATTGTTCTGTTTTTGTGCATAGCATTCAAATGATAGATTTCTCACATATCATTTACATAAAATGAGATCTCAGTTTTGTAGATGCCATTCTCTTAATAATTGAGAAAAGGGTGAAGAAGAAGCAGTTTTGTTTTCTGCATAATGTCAATCACAACGAATGTGCATAAGCAAAAGGTAAGATGTATACATACCTTGGCTGTAAAGACAGTGAGTGAATCAAAGGATTCCATAGATTTGGGGTGTTCGGGAATGAGTTGATGGAGAAGGCATACCAAAGAGACATATTTTTTTGTAACCCTGTCCTGTTCCTTTGTTAACAACTTTGTGTTTTGTCAAAGTAAATAGCTGAAATCCCTGTCCTGTTCTAATAGACAATGTGATGGGGACTCTCTCATTGGCACAGGTTAATGCTTGTAGTGAGTAGGTCTACTGACATATGGGCATTCATAGTATACTGTTTTAGAAAACTTATATAACTATTAAAAGAAAGAAAAATCTCTGTTTTTTTTAAGGAAATTATCCATAAATATGAATCTAACATTATATAGACACATCCTGTCTATATTTTTGATAGTTAGGGGTGATCAATAAGTATTGTTCATGTCAGATTTGTGAATGTTCACTGCTGTTCACTAAGACATTTCTGGAAACTATCTTACCAATGCATGTGGATCTTATCTTTCAACAATCTTAAAAAACTGTACAGGTAAGCTGCATGACTTGAAGCTCTCCCAATTTGAATTCTTGAAATTTTTGAAACCCCATGGAAAATGAATGGGATTTACATTGAAAATTAAATTCGTTATCATGGAATAACATGTTAACATGTTTGGTGGTGTTGGAGAAATTTTATTGGCACTATAATGTAGTTGCATCCAATTATGCTAATTCTTGTTTGGTATCGTAATTATGGTTTCTTAATTACCTTATGTTTGATTTGTATGGTTTCTTATTCTTTTTCTGTTTCTTAAATCTTAATAATAGAGATTTGAAATGCAGAGGAAACATAATATATTTCTCTTTATTTTTCTATAAATATATTATATGATGTTATTGTGTGTTTTCCAAAATTAGTAAAATTTTCTGATCAGCTATGCTTCCAGTGAAGAGCTCCTGTTATTAACAATGAAAATAGCACGGTTACTGACTTTAGGAATGTAAATTACTTTAAAAATGCTGAAGGCCTTTGTCAGATGTGAGAACAATTTGAAAAGTATTACTAGATGCAAATTCAGAAAATAAGTACAGGAGGGATAAAAAAATTATACACATAAATAGTATGATATAAGTTAATTTTAACTTAAAGTAAAGTTGATTTCAATTTTGTTCTTTTTTTGTTTTTTTTCATTGTTTTTGAGAGAATTATTCAAAGAAACACTAACACTATGAAATTGTGAATGTGCATAAGCAAAAGGTAAGATGTATACATACCTTGGCTGTAAAGACAGTGAGTGAATCAAAGGATTCCATAGATTTGGGGTGTTCGGGAATGAGTTGATGGAGAAGGCATACCAAAGAGACATATTTTTTTGTAACCCTGTCCTGTTCCTTTGTTAACAACTTTGTGTTTTGTCAAAGTAAATAGCTGAAATCCCTGTCCTGTTCTAATAGACAATGTGATGGGGACTCTCTCATTGGCACAGGTTAACTGCATAAGTAATATAATATGGAATTTGAACTTTGAAATATCTCTAATCTATCTGCATATATACTATTCTAATAGACCAACACATAGTTTATATTTTTCTTTTTTACGTTTCTTATGAGTTAATATAAAGATTTCTGCCCTTGTAGGCTCCATCCCATCTATGGTCTAATAGGATTAAGTTGATGTCAAATAAATTCTCAAGACAAATGTAACAATATTATAATTTGTAAATTATCCACAAATACCTTTTCGGCCCAACAAATAGTTTATATTTTTCTTTATTTTTTTATAAATATATTATATGATGTTATTGTGTGTTTTAATAACAGAAACGTAGCCAAGAAAATAGAAATAATAGGATAAAGCAAAAGATGCCTCACACTGGAGGTTAATAATAGAGATTTGAAATGCAGAGGAAACATAATATATTTCTCTTTATTTTTCTATAAATATATTATATGATGTTATTGTGTGTTTTCCAAAATTAGTAAAATTTTCTGATCAGCTATGCTTCCAGTGAAGAGCTCCTGTTATTAACAATGAAAATAGCACGGTTACTGACTTTAGGAATGTAAATTACTTTAAAAATGCTGAAGGCCTTTGTCAGATGTGAGAACAATTTGAAAAGTATTACTAGATGCAAATTCAGAAAATAAGTACAGGAGGGATAAAAAAATTATACACATAAATAGTATGATATAAGTTAATTTTAACTTAAAGTAAAGTTGATTTCAATTTTGTTCTTTTTTTGTTTTTTTTCATTGTTTTTGAGAGAATTATTCAAAGAAACACTAACACTATGAAATTGTGAATGTGCATAAGCAAAAGGTAAGATGTATACATACCTTGGCTGTAAAGACAGTGAGTGAATCAAAGGATTCCATAGATTTGGGGTGTTCGGGAATGAGTTGATGGAGAAGGCATACCAAAGAGACATATTTTTTTGTAACCCTGTCCTGTTCCTTTGTTAACAACTTTGTGTTTTGTCAAAGTAAATAGCTGAAATCCCTGTCCTGTTCTAATAGACAATGTGATGGGGACTCTCTCATTGGCACAGGTTAACTGCATAAGTAATATAATATGGAATTTGAACTTTGAAATATCTCTAATCTATCTGCATATATACTATTCTAATAGACCAACACATAGTTTATATTTTTCTTTATTTTTTTATAAATATATTATATGATGTTATTGTGTGTTTTAATAACAGAAACGTAGCCAAGAAAATAGAAATAATAGGATAAGATCTACAAGGGCAGAAATCTTTATATTAACTCATAAGAAACGTAAAGATGAAAGACCATTGGATGAAGTTTCTGCAAAAATAGTGGTTAGATTTTTTAAGCAATTTTTATACTTGTTATATATTATATATGCCATTTGAATTAGTTTGAATATTTTTATATTGATTGTGAGTATACAATAACTTCAAACTTGCTTACATAGGATGTGATGCAAGAAAAATTGATATCCTGGTTGAATTTTTTTCTATTCTATAGCTTACATATTTGTCTTTTTGGATTTGTAGAATCACAATTACCTACAAAATCTACTGCAACTGTGAAAACAGGTTTGGCCCATGTCTTCTTGTTTTACACATGCTATTTTTTTAAAGAGGTTTAAGTTACTTTTGTAAGACAAACATGACAATTCCACAGAAATAAGAGGCACACGACGGAAGAATGCACAACTCTTCAGGATCTCATCAAAGATCTTGTAAAAATAGGGCACCTCCAAACCTTCATACAATCCTCGAACAGGAAAAGGTAGGACAACTACCCCGACAGGACAGACCAAAAGAAAGAGGGCCAAGATAGGGCACCTCCGAGATATAGGCACAGGGAACGCAGCAAATCACATGAACAAAATGATCAGTAGTGGGATAGGAATCTCCCGAGAAGGGTGATAAATACAATTGTTGGAGGATTCGCAGGAGGTGGAGGAACCTCTTCGGCATGAAAGAGTCACTTGAGGGCAATTAGGTTAATTAATGCGGTAACACGAATAGATTTAGTCCCCATGCCACCCATCACCTTTACTAACAGGGACTTCCAGGGGGTCGACCCAGTACAAGACGACCCCATGGTAATCAACGTAGAAATTAATAACTGTCTGGTGAGAAAACAGCTCATAGACCAGGGGAGCTCAACTGATATCTTATACTGGAAAACATTCAAACAGTTGGGCATTCCCGAATAGGAGTTGACACCCTACCATGAGCCCTTAGTCGGATTCTCGGGAGAAAGAGTAGACGCCCGAGGAATGACTTGTACACCTACTTTGGGAATGAACAAGAAGGAAAAAAAGTCAAGGTACGATATGTGGTGGTACATGCCAATACCTCCTACAATATCTTTCTTGGACGACCCTCTTTAAACAAGCTCCGTGCCATTGTGTCAACCCCTCACTTAGCCATGAAGTTCCCGTCTGAAACTGGCATGGTGATCACGTTACATGCCGATCAGAAAACGGATGGTGAATGCTACTATGCTAGTTTGAAGGTACAACTGTTGCTTAGGTACCCACACGACTTCAATGTTATCGGTGATCACCACCAAATCAGAGGAGATACATATTTTGAGTTAGACCCCCATTCAAATGATGACCAAAGAGTGGAGCCAGTCGAGACAACTATCCCCTTGCAACTTGGAAGAAGTAAGGAGCAGGTCACATACCTGAATTCCCAGTTGACGGCTATCGAGGTCGAAAGTATCAAAAAGGTCCTCATTAGGAACTCCGACCTGTTTTCCTGGACAGCAGCGAACATGCCGGGCATTGATCCACACTTCACTGCCATTGACTTTCCATATGTTGAGATTCTAAGCCCATTGCCCAGAAAAAGAGGAAGATGGGCGGTGAGAGAGCACAAGCCCTGAGGGAAGAAATTGCAAAATTAATTCAAGCTGGGTTCATCAGAGAAGTCAAGTTTAGTGACCATTAAAATTGTCACTAGAATTGTCATTAAAAATTTGTATTTTTTCCGGCCATTTAAAAGGTCTTTACCAGCACTCACTTTAAATGCCACTAATAGTTTTACCGACCTCAAATACAATGGCCATAATCTAATTGCTGGTAAAGATATTAGTGGTCATTTGTATGGTCGTTAAATAACATAAAAATTGCCACAAAAAATCATTTTTGGTAATT